GTCCTTGGATGCCGTAAGGACCCTTTTAAGAAATAAGTGACCCGACTGACCCTTAGAGATTGGCCTGAGCTGTGACCGAAATAAGTCTTTTACCGTTTCGCAGGAAGGGACAAAAAGGTCCCTCATATGCTTCTTGTACAATTACGAAACAAAACAAGTTTTTTTTTCAACGAAAACTCAGTGAGTTTTCCTAAAAAATTTATTGCGCATATTCGGTATTCCGTGAATGAAAAGTTGCCGGGTCATGTCAGGTCAGGCTGCCACAGCAAGTTTGTTAACTTGACAGCTCAATCGATATTTATGCAATAAGACCTTCTCGGGTGACGATAAGACATGACGACACTTTATGAAGGAAGCTAGTAAACCCGGTAGTTTCTCCATAGGCGCGGGAACCGGGGGGAGGGGGCAGTGGTGGCAGCTTGCCCCCCCCCCCAACTCTGGGGCCGTGCGGGCGGTGCCCCCACAACTTTCAGACAGAATACCGCTCCTTTTTGCAAATGTTTTCTTTTTTGCCAAGGGATGAAAAATAAGTGGCCTAAAACCGGCGAGAAAACTATATTTGGGGGATCCTAGGTTGATCTCTATCATGGTGTGACCTCCCCCCCCCCCCCGTCTAAAAGTAGTTCCCGCGCCCCTGGGTTTCTCTACGCTATTGAATCACGCTGCTGATTCTAGTAAGTATCTACTACACAACCTTCTCACATTAATTTTTCTTCGAGCGTTTTGGGGGGCCAAAAGATATGTTGGCCCCCTCTTTCAGGCTTTTTGGGCCCATGGCCCCGGTGGCCCCCTTGAATCCGCCAGTGGGGGCGGTGCCCCCACAACTTTCAAACGGAATACCGTCCTTTTTTGCAATTGTTTTCTTTTTTTGTTGTTGAAAAAACCAAGGGATGAAAAATAAGTGGCCTAAAACCGGTGAGAAAACTAGATTTGGGGGGGGGACCCTAGGTTGATCTCTATTATGGTGTGCTCCCCCAGTCTGAAAGTAGTTCCCGCGCCCCTGACTTTCTCTACGCTATTGAATCACGCTGCTGATTCTAGTATCTACTACGCAACCTTCTCACATTAATTTTTCTTCAAGCGTTTTGGGGGGCCAAAAGATATGTTGGCCCCCTCTTTCAGGCTTTTGGGGGGCCATGGCCCCGGTGGCCCCCTGGATCCGCCAGTGGGGGCGGTGCCCCCACAACTTTCAGACGGAATACCGTCCTTTTTTGCAACTGTTTCTTTTTTTTGTTGAAAAAGCCAAGGGATGAAAAATAAATGGCCTAAAACCGGTGAGAAAACTAGATTTGGGGGGACCCTAGGTTGATCTCTATTATGGTGTGCTCCCCCAGTCTGAAAGTAGTTCCCGCGCCCCTGACTTTCTCTACGCTATTGAATCACGCTGCTGATTCTAGTAGGTATCTACTACGCAACCTTCTCACATTAATTTTTCTCCAAGCGTTTTGGGGGGGGGCCAAAAGATATGTTGGCCCCCCCTTTCAGGCTTTTGGGGGGGGCCATGGCCCCGGTGGCCCCCCCCTGGATCCGCCAGTGCTTTTATATTAAAATTGTTTGCACATGTGTTTCGGGAATTACCCTTGATCACACCATATAAAATAGCTATATCCAAATACAATCGAGGTCAAATACAATCGAGGTCGAACGAGGTCCACTCGACCCCGTTCGACCTCGATTGTGTTTGGATTTAGCTATCTTTATATGGTGTGATCAAGGAATTAGTCCCGAAACACATGTGTAACCAATTTTAATACCAGTACTAGAGGGACAGCATTACGCGCAGCGTAAAGAGGGACAGCATTACCTGCAGCGTAATAAATCAAGTTTCAATAAAATCGGCCCAGTAGCGGCCGAGTTATGGCCAGAATAAATTTGGCGTCTCCTCCTGGCCGGCGGTGCTCTGTTCCGGTATTCGTTGCCAAAGGTCAGTGACCTTCCGGCTCTGATTTCGCTCAGTTTCGCAAGCGAAGAAACTGAGGCTAAGGCGCGTGCTCTCTGATCGGCGACGGCCGCGGCCCAAAATCCCGCAAAGATGCGCCCGCCACGTGCAAACCGGCGAGCGCACCCCCACCAAAATTTAATACGACAAACAGATGCACGCGTCCGACTCGGCACCAAAGTTTCACCCCCGTAGCCCGCACCGTTCCGGAGCAATAGCCCGCCAAGCGTGACTGACGCGTTACATACATACATACATACGGACATTTTGATTTTTATATATGTAAACTAGAGGGACAGCATTACGCGCAGCGTAATAAGTCAATTTTCAATAAAATCGGCCCAGTAGCGGCCGAGTTATGGCCAGAATAAATTTGGCGTCTCCTCCTGGCCGGCGGTGCCCTGTTCCGGTATTCATTGCCAAAGGTCAGTGACCTTCCGGCTCTGATTTCCCTCATTTTCGCAGCGAACAATCTGAGCCTAGGGCGCGTGCCGTCTGCTCGGCGCCGGCCGCGGCCCAAAATCCCGCAAAGATGCGCCCGCCACGTGCAAGCCACCGAACCCACCCCCACCAAAATTTAATACGACAAACAGATGCACGCGTCCGACTCGGCGCGAAAATTTCACCCCCGTAGCCCGCACCGTTCCGGAGCAATAGCCCGCCAAGCGTGACTGACGCGTCACATACATACATACATACATACATACGGACGTTTTGATTTTTATATAAGTGAATAACGCCTTTTGGGGCGACTAACGGAGCGAGCGAGAGGGTGAGCCTTGCACGTGCGAAATTTCGAGGGGGTACCTCCATCTGACTTGTGCACGGCACCCTACTAACCGGTTTCTAGCGATGTGCCAAATTTGAGCACAATCGGCCCAGCCGTTCTCGAGATCTGGAAGCGGCACCCTGCACGTGCGCACGTGCAAAATGGGTCCCAACTGACTTTTGCACGGCACCCTACTAACCGGTCCCTAACCATGTACAAAATTTGAGCGCCATCGGTCCAGCCGTTCTCGAGATCTGGAATCGACCCCTGCACGTGCGCACGTGCAGCAGCACCCCAACTCTGGCACATGGATATGCAGTGCCTAGTGGGTGCCTACCTACATGCCAACTTTCAGCGCAATCGGCCAAGTAGTTACCGAGATATTGCAACAATTACAAAAGTGACACCTCTTCGTTTTGCACGTGGCACGTGCATAAGGGGTCACCCACATGCATCGGGAATAGTCCAATACTTGGTAGAAGGAATGATGCTACCCTACAAAAATTACCGCATGTAAATCGGTCAAGTGGTTGCTGAGATATAAGCGTCGCAGAATCGTGACCACGGCCGGCCGGCCGGCCGGCCGGCCGGCCGCTCATACTCAGAAATTTCCGTTATTCTACGTAAGACTCCGCTCGCCTCGCTCGCTCCGTAATAAAAACAACACGTTCCTATTGCCTTTCCCATTTATACTTCTTTGATAATGAAGGAAAATATAAATACATCTGCGCTGGCTCATGGGAAGAGGTTTTCCAGAGAAGTTGGTGGGACAAAAAATCGTCAAACCTACTATGCCGGATTGTTAAATTAAATAGGATGCGAGACTGAATCAATTATTTTCTTTACAGATATAATATTTTGCATTACCTACACAGACATTTCAAACCTCCCCATTGCGAAAAAATTATTTCCCAAAGCAACGAAGTCCTACAAATAAGCTAAAGTTTGAAGGGGGGGGGGGGCAAAATGCCTATAAGTGGGGCAAAATGTCAAGTTGGTGGGGCAGCTGCCCCACCAACTCCGCCGTAACTCAACTCCGTGTACAACTCCGTGTAGGAAACTCCGCCGCTGAGCTGACTTCAACCTGAACGCCATTTTTGTCCAACGGTGATCAGCATTTCATACCTTTGGACGTTTCGCTGCCAGCAATAGTACAGGGTGGCGCCGGTAAATAACCACAAATGTCAAACCTGTGTTACGAGGAAACTGTTTTGTGCATAGCAATATTTTTTTGCATTCATGTTCCATGCTTTATGTAAATTGTTGTCCATAGCAAAAGGGAACGTTACAGCTGAAGATGATAACGGAAGAGATGAAAAGACACGCGGTCATCGTGGCGCTTCACGCCGGCAGCGAGGCTTCCGAGGTCGCCAACTTCCTCAAGGTCGACAGAAGCCATGATTATAAAGTCGAGCGGAGCTTGAATGAGTCTGTGGGCGACGTCCCGTCTGTGGCAAAGCGGAAGAAACATCCTCGACGATCTGCTGCCGTCGGAGACGACGATTTCATTGCCAAAGTCGAGCACATCGTCGACGATGACACGACGTCGACGTCACCGTCGATGACGGTGACGTCGTGAAACCCTAGATCGACCGAGTGGCTGAGGAAGGCCCTATGTGTCCCAACAAGACTCTGTAACCGCCCACAAGGCCAGGGTGACGCAGGAGTGGATGAGCGGCAACGTGCACAGTCACATCACGCCCGAATTCTGGCCGCCAAACTTCCCGGACCTGAACCCGCTCGACTAAAACGTGTGGGGCGTAGTCGAGAGGGACACTAACAAACACCCACACAACAATATTGACTCTCTGAAGTCAGCCATCAAGCAGATGATGGTCAAGATGGACAAGACCATGCTGACCAAGGCCTGAGCCCGGTTCAGGCCGCGCATCGAGGCCGTCATCGACGCGGAGGGGGATTCATCGAGTGAAGTGTGCTCGACAGGTCGCCATCAGTCACCCCAGTTCCAAGCTTCCATCCAATGTACTGACTTTTGCCAAAAAATTAATGTTTTGTGTGGAGCACATATTGTCTTCATTTATCGTCGCCACCCTGTAATGCGAGAACGGCAGCCATTTTGGCATACACATTTGAAAAGATATTGTTTTCTTTCTGCATCTGAGTGGTGCCGCGATACCTTCACAGCCTGAGCCGACCAGTGCAGTGGCGCTCGGCTGTGCCCGGCGGCAGCCAGCGCCCAGCGATCGTAGCCCCGGGCGTCGTGACCTCACCGGCGCGGCGTGACCTGTCAGCGGAGGGCGGGGCACAGTACGGGCCGGGGTGGAGGTAGGGCAGGGCGCTCGGTCAAATGACAGGGCCGAACGAGACACAGTCGCTTTTCCAGCTTGTTTCGTTACTAAGCGAAGTCACGGCGGACTTCTTAGTTATCGGGCCAGCCACATCCTGATGGAACGAAGAAACGGAGGCAGTGGATCAAAGATCAAGACGGACACGGAAGACAGCTGGAATCTTGCATGGTAAGTACGTTAGTTATAATCGCCGTTCTACAGCCAGACGTTTCTGAGTTTCACTGAGAAATGGCAGAAATGGGAAGGGGAATATTTCCGTTGAAACGGTGATACAACTTAGGTACCATATTAATTGTCAGTGATTTTTTTAGTCCTATTGAGCTTATCATAGTTACGATTTTTAACACTTCGCTAAGCTTTTTTACCTTAGTTATTATACGTAGTAGGTCTCATCCTATGTCGGAAGTTTTTGCCTTCTTATCCATTCCACCAACAACATTTGATCACACAAGACATCTCTCTGCAGGATAACCGCGACAACGCTGGTCTACCTGCATAGCGCAGCTTGCATAACGAGTATGAAATGTGACGAGCTTTATCATTATAATGAACTGCAGAGTACAGATTATGCTTGCTTTTGTGGCTAAGCTTCGCATCAGGTTTTGTGCCGGCGCTAACCAGCCTGCGGCTTAGAAAGCAGAGCCGGCTGCAAAGAGTGTGTGTGATGTTGGCTTAGGTATACAAGACATGTTCGCTTTTAGATAAGTAATACGACAGTGCGCGTCTCTACCGATAATTGACGTTTCGACTGATTGATAGTCACACAAAATTGAGAGGTTATGACAAAGGAGGAGCAACGCGTATCGTGACCGTCTATAATTTTGACCAAGGAAATTGGGCACTGCTTCTCCGGCCGCGTTTGCATTGTTTTCCGGCATGTTGACACTTTGACAACTTACGACTTTTCGACTTTTATTTACGGCGACACGATAGGGAAATTTTCCAGAAGCATAGTGATTCGTGTTTTAATCCCTTTTTGTCTTGTTTTGACTGCTTTTGTATAAATAAGAGAGGCTGGTAGGACATGTTCTCGTGCATCTCTCGACTATCTCGCTGTCGTGGCCGGTGGCTGCCGTGCGAGTATGTGTTTATTTAGTGCTGGCATTCGTGCAACAGTTTCCTATAATATCCGTCACATGTGGTGGCGATCGGGCGTCATTTCCCGGCGCGTGGCACCTCGCCGGGGACCAATTACGGCCCGTAATGAGGCAGAGTAATGAGGCGACACGGGGCGTCGTGACGGGCGCCGGCCCTCTCCCACCGGCGCCGAACCCCATCGGCAGCTGTGTGTCGCGTGCCGAACCGTGCGCGGAGGAGTGTGAGAGAAGTATACCGACTAAATGAGTCGTCGTGACGGCTCGGTCTCATCAGGAGGGCCTCACGATAGGGAGGGATGGACACTGGACAGGCTGCGGGAGATGCATGCTGGATAAATGAGATCACGAGGCGAATGTCATCTGGTAACCGTTCGGCCTGCACGATAGATAGGTAATACTTTTACGGAATGTAACTGTTTTCGTCAGCAACAATCAAAACAGAAACGAGCCTGAAAAGAATGCATTGTACTCACTAACGGAGTTAATTCGTTTAGAGTTTCAAACCCATGTTTATTGGCAAATGTGTCAAACGACTCAAAGATTGTTACTTTTCATTGTTGCTTTTCATTATCCTTCGTAAAAGCGGCGTATTGCGTGAGAGGCTTCATCGGATCATCACTCATCAATGCACATCGCACAGTATTGCTCAACCCATCTGCACTCCCAGTCTGGAGTCTGAACTCTGAGCCGGCCGGACGCACGGGCTGCAGCGCGAGCAGCGCCTCTTGACGCCCGGCCGCCGCCGCCGCCGCACGAGAACGCCGAGACAGAAAAATGCCAAAACCGGTAAAACGGGTCGGTAAGCGGCTTATGAAGCCGGCCGTACACGAACAGGCCTCGCGAATCATCCGCACGCCAATCTGCCGACTGCAGTGGACTACAGTCAGACTCTGCCGGCCGCTGTCCGAAATAACACTGCAGAAACACGCCCGGCAAAATAAACGTGCTGCAAAACAAGTGAACCTTTCCACTGTTGTAGCTAAGAAAAGGAAACGGAGATAATTGTAATAACGCTTATTTCTCTGGTGTTCCGTGTTCGGCTCACAATATATTCGTTAGAAAACATGAAGAAAATGAAAAGTTTCTTTTCAAATGTGTGACGTGGCAATCGAAGGTCCGTATAATCGAGATGACTGAGCGGGCAGGCGGAATACCATGGATGCTGAAAATTAGCGCTTGGATCTCGATGAATGGTGGACTTTCTCTCGCTGTGCTTGGACAAGGCTGAAGTCTACATAAATTTGCACTATATGTTTATCACATGATATGCATAGTTATTATTTATTATGCTTGCGATTCATGCCTACAGTAGGTATATTTTAGAGCATCTTTATATTATTTCTGATAAAACATTTTGTTGATATATGTTTTCTGATAAAACATGATAAAGTTACAATACTACATGTCATCGTTCTCCATTGTAGGTAACCCTTTCACATTTCAATGAGTAAATATCGCACTTCATAGCACGGCACATGACTGGCTGAAGCTGGGTAAATCCAAGGCGCGCTCTTTACAAGTCAGTTTTCCTGCGAAAGACCAGGGGAACAACTATATAGGTAGATATTGAATGGGTGGGTACCTACTTTGTCGTCACATACGCCTCAATCAATTTCACTTGCCTTTGCCCGTTATAATGTGTTGTTTCTTTTCATTCCACAAGCTGTGGTAATCAGCTAGCTACGTGCTTTTTCAAAGCATTGACAATTATCTGATTCCCACTAAACAGTGTTGTTACGGTCACGAGTAGCACGTTTACTGTCATAAAACCATCCTCATCAATGAGGAAAACACGGCAACTTCACCGGCATTATGGTATATGACGGCCGCTGGCTGCTGCGGCACCGTGACAGAGCAGACTGCAACAACCAGGTCTCCTGCATCGGCCTGACGTTGAGACAGACGACCGGCGTCATCTCCACGATTTTGACTCGGCCCGGACTTTCATAAGTGTCTCATACCTATGAAACTTGACGCACATGACCAACGTCTTCCGTATCAGTGAAATGCCGACTGCGTCAAGCGTTTTTCCCAAATTGACGTAACGATGTTCTAGCGTCTTTTGATGCAAAGGCATGTGTACCGGCCGACCTCACCATTTGATAGCCTCATTCCTGGTCACTGCAGCATCGTCAGGGGAAACCTGAACCGCAACATTGTGCCATCGCAACCGGTAATGCCATTTTTTCGCCTGTCTTCGCGTGGAGCTGTGCTGGAAGTGCCGGGGGAGCAGCATCGGCCAAAGACCCCTCAAGGACAGCGAGTCTGGCGGCGCTGCTGGTCCATCCGCGCGGCGCGGACTTCTTCAAAGCTGGAACACACGCGGGCTTATCGCATTCTGCGGCGGCTGAGGAGCGTGCAGCGCACCGCGAGTGGCGGACCTGCAGGTCGCTGAGTGCGCCGCGCAGCTAAGACTCTTCTGCACGGCGGTCACGGAAGGCGGCCACTCATCAGCCATCGCGGCCAGACGCAGTCACGGACTCACAGTTTCGTGAACTTTTCACTGTTTTGATATTTTCGCACAGGCTTCGAAAAGTGACTGTAATTTTGTTCAGAGTCGGAAAAGTTAATCAAAGGTTAGATAGGTACTGCCGTTACAGCGGTTTTGCAAAAGGAGGTGATGGGTTTAAGACACTGAAATGAAAAAGCCGAGATGAAATTTATTGTGTAGGCTGTCATTCTTTTCGATTGGTTGAAGGCGGGCTGAGCCACCTGACACCTCGCAACTTTGCGTAAGGCCTCATATGCGACGTTCCCGTCTATTTCCCAGATATTGCACGTCTTCTTATCAAAGAAAGTTGCGCTATTTTGAGCGAGTTCTGTCCGTTTCATCTCTCCCGATATGCGCAGCGCTCGGCCGGCATAGGCGCCATCTGTGGGAGGCCGGAGCGGCCCCGCAGGTGGGCCGGCCCGTCGGTCGGCGCGCGGCGGCTGGGCCGGCGCCGACAGCCGGTTCCTGACGCCGTGCAACCGGTCGTCGGAGGGCGGGCGCTTTTTGTCTGCGGCGTGTATGAAAGATGGCGGCGATTGGCCGGCCGAGCGGCGGCCTTATCGGCGTGGCCAGCCTTGGTCCGCCGAGGGCCGGCGGCTTTTTGCTGTGGGCTGCCGGACAGCGTTACCTCCGCACCGTCACCTGTCAGCCGGGGATGCAGCCGAACCGGGAGAACGCCTCCGCCGGAAAACAGGAAACGAACTCTGCGAACTACCAGCCAACGACCGGGGTTGTTGGGAATAGGCAGGTATGGTATAATAGGCAAGACGCACCTTCGACGCTGATGTTGTTGACGGATCGTTCCATTGCACTGTTTAGCGTCCCGAGCTGCGGAACTTTGGAATTGTAAGATCAGTACCTACCTACTTGGTGCCAGGAAACACTGTCATTTGGATTGGCTGGACGAAGATATTTGAGCAGATATCGGAAAAGGCAATCACGGTACATACCTATAGTGCGTTAGTATCGGCTGCAACTAGAGTTGCAAAATTTCCCTACCGCACTACCGGCATGCCGGTAATTTTTCACTACCGCAGGTTTTTTCGTGGTATTTGGCATATCCTGCCGGTAGCATGCCGGCATTTTTGATTTTGCACCAAAAAAAAATATCAGCATATGATTCAAACTTTGGACACTAAAAGGCTATTGAATTGTAATAACAGCAATCTTAGCCACTGCAAAATACATTTTGTGGTAGAAGTTCCATTGCTAAGGGTAATTGTACACATGAACCTCAGCATTTCACAGGTTTGACTCTAATAAGAATTGTCAAGAATCTACTGTGGTCTATCAAAGGAAGAATACTCATTCATGTTGCAAAAGCACAACCAATTAGTAAGTCTAATGGTAGGTAATAGGTATAATACAATAAAATAAATTAATGTTAATGGCAACATTCCCTAGGCAAAAGGCAGAATCAAAACAACACAAAACACATTGTTTGTGGCCTTGAGTCCTGAGATGTGGTCTGAGATACTCTACAAAGAATTTGACACTGAAAATCCAGCTGAAAAGGCAGGTATTAGGAAGCCCTGAGCCTAACTTCGGTCCCAAAATGAAATAAAAATGAATTAAACTGG